TTGTTATCTATCATTCACACCATCAACATCGTCGTCCTTCTGTTAATACCAAATGGTATTGATTGATTGCAAGCAAGTAATATCATGACATGTTTTTGTCAAAGCCGTAGAGATTCCTCACGACATGCTTTAAATGACTCCAGAGAATTCTTGCCCAAGACCTATTGTGTTAATAGATGACAATTTTCCCACGTCTGGTTTTGTTCTCAAAAAATAAAAATAAAAATAAAAAAAAGTTCTGATCACTAATACTGATGACACGCAGCATGTGAGGTTAGCACTCTCGATTAATGGTCCATATTTGCTAGCACAATGTCCGCCTCTTCAGACAAGAATTTTTAAAAATCTTTAAACTCAAATAAAGGATAGATGAAATGATTTATGCCACGAAGTCTGGATAAAGTTATCCSCCAGTTAAAGTTGTCCGTAGTTTGAATGGGGTGCAACCGGCCGTACACTGCATAAAATTAACAATCGGAAAGCTCTTAGCTTTTAAAGAAAAAACGATTTCCTTGTCTGGCATAACTGAGAGAGGAATTCATGCCAAGACTATGGCTGTAATCATGTAATTTTTTTAACCGAAGGTGTCCAGCAATGGCTGACTTATCAWATGACGAAATAATTTTTTAGAGCACTGTTCGGCCAATCAGCGCAAACATGCTATCAAATTATTTTATTTAAAAAACCGTTCGTTTTTCCATACGACAGAAGCTGACTGGACCGCAGAACGTGCAAAAAAAATTCACTGCAAAGTCTAAGATTAAGACTGGAAAATGTTAAACTTATTTGATATATTTAAAGAACTTTTAATTTAGTGRATGTTACGAATTCAACTGTGAAGCTCTGAGCTCTACATGGAATTTGATCAATAAAGAATGTAATAAAAATGCAAATGATTTTGCGCTACACTGGCAGTGCTTCCAAGAGCGAGTAAAGAATTTGCATTTCATTACTGAAAATTATGTAGCTCGAATTCGAAAACAGGCGGACTTCAATTTGACCGCTTTTTACTCTCTACCAATTGAAAGTCTTTCCAACTAAARAAGGCTGTTTTACCAAGGTATGTTGGTATTATTGGAGTGTGTTTTCGGCTAAGAAACGCAAACATATTCATTAACTACGCACAAAGCTGGTTGGACTGTAGTTCGGACAAAAACTCTGAGAAGAAAATCTTTCAAAAAAGCTCTCAGTTGTGGATGTAACTGTATTTCAAAACTAGTAAACGTCATTTACTTCAAAGAAAGTTATCTTTCAGGATAATATGTAATGAAGTTTGGATTCTTTTCGCGGTCTAGTTTTTCCTTTGAGCGCAGTGGATTAAATCAGTAATTACCATCGCTTCTCTAACAGGTTTTCCCTTCTAGCATGGAAAATTCTAGAAAAAAAGAGTTACAAATACTTATGGATACTGCTTTTCTGCGCATTACACAATAGTTTCAATTTTTTCGTAATTATTTCTCTCGTGCCTTTGTATTTTGGCAAATCAACAAATGTTCGCGSCATTTTTCTCTTCTTCAAGTTAAATGTTTCCATATTAAAATCAATTTTAATACTTGCAAACTTTCTTTTAAATGCTATGCTTGAGAATAAGTAATTTGMTGTCATATTTTCTGACTATCTATAAGTTTTGAATTAATTTTTTTTTGTATATACTTGAGCGATAGAGATTCTAGAAAAAAAGGAATGTGTGAAGTTTATGCAAGGTTTTTTTTGGCGTAGCAAACGATTTGTTTCGCTTGAAAGTAGTTTAACTTAAAGATGCTTTTGCAATTTAACTTGACTATTCAGAATTAAACTGAATGATTTATTAAAACCTCAAACTCCACTCAATTGACGGTTAGCTGTAAAGTTTTTATTGATTTTTAATCCTTTAAGTTGGTAGATGTTATTCCGTGTATTAATTAAGGTGTTTAAAGCGAAATGGATATTTGACATTAAGATAAACTTGTAGATTTGCCTTCAATTTTCGGGTTTTTTTTTTCCTCTTGTAATTAAAGCCCGTCAAACACCTGACATGGCATTACCTGCTGGACTGACTTTGTGACACTAATTAAAGTCTMAAAAACTCAATTTTTTATTCAAGGTACAATAATACAATTGTTTCAGGCAAATACATGTTTTTTTCGCCGATTCAGACTAAAATGTCGTCAATGTATTCTCGATTCATACCTCTGAATTGAAATCTTTTTGGTTTTAAAACTTACYAAATAAAACTTGAATTGTCCTAAAAGTTACAAAGTAATGAAGATGTCGGCGACCGACGAAAGCTTGAAAGTAAACTTATCACAGCAGTAGCGTATGGCCTAATTTCAACTTGAYATTGTCCTAAAAGTTAGTATCGATAAAATGAGGAGTTGAAGGAAGCTTTTATTGAGCTTTAAATACTGATTTTCTTTCGTGCGTTTTTTTTTTGTAAGTTTTTCCAACGACATTTTTTTATCAATATGATCGATTCCATTGGACTCCAAATGTTWTGTAATGTTTATACACAGACGATGGGTTTTCTCTGCCAACTAAATCAATTTTCGACAGATCTATTCTTGTTTTACATCTTGTGTGGTTGGATACTTTTTAATGATCCACTGAAATTGAAGAAAATTTCCATTTCAATTTTCAGGTTTTGTGATTGTCCACTAATTGTCCGACAACCTATATTTTTTGGCTGTCGATACAGTGCCAAGTCTTTGACAAAGAAGAGCTGACTTTTCGTTTCGTATGTCTAGGAATTTCATTTTTTATTAATTCAGTTTTTGAAATTATCTTAATTCTTTTACCCGTAGCCGCCTTCATATGATCTCCTTTAGCCGTCAGTAACATCAGAAACTGTCGAAATWGTTGTTGAAACTGTCGAAATTGTCGAAGCTGTCTATTCGATATACCTCTGTGAAGTCCGACTATGCCAAAATAGGCGAAAAGAAACTTCRGATGCTTTTATCTTCATAGTTACGTAATGAAACAATTTTCTTTTACCTCTAATACACCACTGTATTTATAATTTTTTTATTGGTAAGAGGTGATATTTATAATAATGCACACGTTGAGCTGTTTACTTCACCTTACTTTCTTTGTATTGTAGAATAATTTTTTCCTTTTTCGACGAACTCCTGTCTTTCGYGCGCGCACACTAAGAATCTTTAAACCAGTTAAACAGGTTTTCTTACCAATTTAGTGCACAATATTTCAGTCATTAATTTACAATTCAAAGCTTTTTRTTATCATCAACAGAGAAGAATTGCACCACGAAATGTGATAATGGCGCCGATACAGTTTACTCGTGGAGGCTCCATCTTGTTGCTTCTTTGTGTGGTTTTCATTTTGGTGAGTGCTTATCGTTTGAAAAATACATTTCTGAAGTATCAACAGCAAATTTAATATGATTATACGATTTTTAAAACAAGGAAAATAAAATCTTTTGTYGATACTTCGTTTTTATTTTGAATGTTTCTTGGCAACAGTGAGGGGTTACAATGATATACATTTTGAAAGGTTGTCAAGTCTGAAAAGACCTCTAGCTCAAATTCTGTAATTTATTCCAATGACAAATCTTCTGGAGCAACCAAGAAACGATTTTAATAAGAGATTGATCATCGATGGCTATTTTTTCATACACTACGGACCTGCTCACACTACAACATCAACAGAAGAAGAAGGAGAAGGGAGTTTTCTATAGTGCGAACCTAGAAAAACATAAACAGAAGCGGAGACGTAAATGTAATCCTTCTGACTCTGCTTGTGTTTAAAAATTACGACCGCGCGAAATATACAAGCACATATCATGTTATGATTGTGTCAAGTGTGAGTCAGCTTGTGTTACCGTTTCCGCTTATGTCGAGTAGTAGTGTTCACCGTTCCGAAGATCAATTGCCAGCTTTTATGTTCGAGCAGGAAACTGAGTATAAGTTTTAAAATTGCAAAAATCGGTGTGTGGCCTACATTACCTGAAAGAGCAAAACTAAATCAATAAAAAAGCAAAGTTTGATGGAAATCCAGTCAATATTTCAAAAATTATAGCCATTCAAAAACCCTCTTATTCAAGTGTAAATSAATAGATTGCAGGGAATGCTTTCTTTACAATCTGTACATTCCTTTGTAAATTTTAACATTTTTGAACAGCTTTAAGTTCTTAGATAGTCTTCGGAAATAAACCAAACTTGGGGGTATTATCAAATCAAGATGATTTAGGTAATTTGGCGATTTTTGCAATTTTAAAACTCGAACCCAGACTCCTGCTCGGAGATGAAAGCAATCAATTGAATATTTCTGTATGAGATTTAAATGCTTGAAATTTCTGTGTAATTGAAAGTGTTTTGTTTTTCTTTTAGAAAAACGAAAAAACGTCTGCAGGTACGTTGCCTACATATACCAATTTCAAAAAAGGTTGTCGGATAAAATGGCGATTGTCAATTGTCGTATGGAGATCGCACGACTGAAAGTAGCCATGGGTTTTGCTAATTGATGAAAAATAACAACTGATCTGTACTGTAAGATGGTCAGCGGTGAACATTGGTTCCATCTAGTCTCCATTTCTATGCAAGATAAATCTAATAGTGGAATTTTGTTTGTTAAATATCTGTAACATATGGAACAAGCAAAATGGCCGATTTATTTTGAAGTTGCAGCTAGGATGTTGCATGATAAAGAAAAGGAGCTGTCTCTAGCTTGAAAAAACAATTTTAATGCAAACGTTTTGATCGCAGATGCGATCTTCTTCAGTGCAGTGGCAAATGCAAAGCGAATGGCCGAAAATGGCCGATTATTGAATTACATTTTCGCTACAATAACTGCAAGTTTCAGACGATTTAAACTTTTTTAAAAAATTGAGAAATCGCCAAAAATGAGTCCACTCGCACTTCCAAATAAGATGTAGGAAGGACAACTTATTGATGTAATAACGGGAATTTTGATATAATATCGGTTTTTATATTTTCTATCTACAGAARATGCAGCCTTTAACGTTTGTAAGATGATTATAAAAGATTCAACCTGTAACTTCACCATCARYGCGCACAGYGTRTCAGGAGTTACCGGTTATAAAATCGAATTTGGTGATGGAAMTTCCGTGTCATTCACAGACAGAACAAAAGTTACAYCGAAKRCATACRACAAAGTTGGTGTGTATACCGCAACACTTACCTTTGAAGGGAGCACTGGCCCGGTCAAAGTCGCTAAAACAGTGACGGTTAGAGAGGCTTTAGTCAACGCAGTAAGTATCTTGGATCGGAACTATTAAGCGACCACCTCTCGAGAAACACGAGGTGGTCGTACTACAGAGGTTGCCCGTGAAATAGAGGTCGAGTTTACTATAAATGCTTATGGGATGTAAATTTCGGGAAATTGATTATTTACGGAAAACACTGGGTGGTCGTACTACAGAGGTTGCCCGTGAAATAGAGGTCAAGTTTACTATAAATGCTTATGAGATGCAAATATCGGGAAATTGATTATTTACGGAAAACACTGGGTGGTCGTACTACAGAGGTTGCCCGTGAAATAGAGGTCAAGTTTACTATAAATGC